AAACTCAGATTTTTAGAAGACAAATGCAGGGGGTGTGTATGCATCTTGGCAGGGTATGAACAACCGGGCAAAAAACCAAGGATTTAACCAACCATCCAACTGTCAGGATGCTGAGGCGGCAAGAACCTGGCTGCTCCACATTCTAGAACAGGCCCAGGAAAACACCCCCACCCCCATTTGATGGGAAAATATTAGGGAACGGAACGGATCCTTTCTCTATTTTCTCCCAAGGTCCACTCTAGAATCTGTTCTCCTTCTGACAGCAGGGCCATTGTTATTAAGCAGCATGTGTCAGGGATCTCTGAAATCCCAAAAGTGCGGAATTAAAATTTCATATATAAACAGTGCCCAAGACGGAAAAGCCACCAGGATAATCCAAAACATTCCTCTGTAGGCTAGTCTTAGAAATACTCCAGGTAAGACATGGTGACCTCATAACAAGCATTTAGAAGCAAGAAAGGTTTTTCCCGAAGTAGCCATTATTTCTATACAGGTCGGACCGCCCCGATCCAGCACTCTTCGAACCTGAGTGGTCCCGAAGGAGGGATTTTGCCAGCACTGGGGAGGTCATTTCCACTCTGCCACCGGCCTCCTCAACATTCAACCAGCCCCACTGCCCTGACATGGGGGCTCTCAGTTTCGCAGTGGCAAACCACTGCCCCACCACTGATGCTCTTGGCCCTGCCGCGATAGCACGGCCCGGCCAGCCCCAAAGGTAGGGAGGTAGGGTGGGTTCTCGAGTGGCCTAGGAGTTAGGGCATTGGCCTAGGGACACCAGGGTTGAGAGTTGGAGCCCTGCCCACCCGGGAGCATCACTGTTACCACAAACAGCACTAGCGCCCCATCAGGAAGGCAGGATAAGGGGCACCCTGAAGGTTGAGAGGTGGGATGGGTTCTTGCATGGCATAGGGGTTAGGGCATTGGCCAGATGACTAAGGAGGACAGATGACTAGGGAGGAGTATAAACGTATAGCTCAAGAATGCAGGGGGGTTGTCAGGAAGGCAAAAGCACAATTGGAATTGGGACTTGCAAAGGATAACAAGAAAGGTTTCTACCGGCATGTTAGCAAAAAGAAGGTGATCAGAGAGAGTGTGCAGCCCCTACTGGACGAAGGCGGTAACCTAGTGACAGATGATGTGGGGAAAGCTGAAGTACTCAACGCTTTCTTTGCCTCTGTCTTCACGGACAAGGTCAGCTACCAGACTATTGTGCTAAGTGACACAGTATGGGACGAAGGTGGACAGCCTGTGGTGGGTACAGAACAGGTTAGGAACTATTTAGAAAAGCTAAATATACACAAATCCATGGGTCTAGACTCAATGCATCCGAGGGTACTGAGGGAGTTGGCAAATGTCATTGAGGAGCCTTTGGCCATTATCTTTCAAAACTCATGGAGGTCAGGTTGTAGTGATCAGGGGAGGTCTGGATGATTGGAAAAAGGCAAATGCAGTGCCCATCTTTATAAAAGGGAAGAAGGCAGATCTGAGGAACTACAGACTGGTCAGCCTCACCTCAGTCCCCAGCAGGTCTTCAAGGAATCCATTTTGAAAACTTGGAGAAAAGGAAGGTGATCAGGAACTGTCAACATGGATTCACCAAGGGTAAATCATGCCTGATCAATCTAATTGCATTCTCTGAGAGGTAACTGGCTCTGTGAATATGGGTAAGTTGAGGTAACTGGCTCTGTGGACATGGGAAAGTCAGTGGATATGATATACCTTGACTTTAGCAAGGCTTTTGATATGGTCTCCCACAATATTCTTTAAAGGAATGTGGATTGGATAAATGGACAGTAAGATGGATAGAAAGATGGCTAGAAGGCCGGGCCCAGGAAGTAGTGATCAACGGCTCGATGTCAGGATGGCAGTTGGTTTCTAGCGGAGTGCCCCAAGGGTCAGTTCAACATCAGTTTTGTTCTACATCTTTATTAATGACCTGGATGATGGACTGTACCCTCAGCAAGTTTGCGGATGACACTAAGCTAGGGAGAGAGGTAAATACGCTGAAGGGCAGAGATAGAGTCCAGAGTGACTTAGAGAAATTGGAGGATTGGGCCACAAGAAATCTGATGAGGTTCAACAAGGACAAGTGGGGTCCTGCACTTGGGACGGAAGAATCCCAAGCATTGTTACAGGCTGGGGATCAACTGGCTAAGTAGTAGTTCTGCAGAAAAGGAGCTGGGGGTTACAGTGGATGAGAAACGGGATACGAGTCAATAGGGTGCCCTTGTAGCCAAAAGGGCTAATGGCATATTAGGGTGCATTAGGAGGAGCAATGCCAGCAGATCCAGAAGTGTGATTATTCCTCTCTATTCGGCTCTGGTGAGGCCACATCTGGAGTATTGTGTCCCGTTCTGTGCCCCCAATTACAGGAAGAATGTGGATGCATTTACCTCACTAAATCCATCCCCAGTCTCCAGCGTTGAGATCTCGAGGGCAGTCTCAGCGGAGACAGGCTATTGACAAAGCCAGGATCGCTGTCTCACTGATGTGGTAACAGGCTAGCGGTGTGGCAACACGATATCCACAAACCCAACGACCGCCTAAAGAAACAGAGCAGGTAAAACGGGTTAGCCAGGCTGGATCTGTGCGACTGTGCTTCACAAGAGGAAGTGCCACATGATCCCGAACTGGGACCCAGCTCATCAGGCCATTTACGGAGTGGATGGGAAATACTTACTAGACCATATGGACCACGAATCCGCGGGCGGAGTAGTGACAAGCTTATTTTTCACTCAGCTATGAAAAGGGATTCCTCAGCCCCATCACATGGTTCTGGCAGCCAAATCTCACCTTTTGGCCCTTCTTTAGCCAGTACAAGAGATTGCTGCAGAAGACTAGGAGGAGGATTATTTCAGTGCCTCATTATGAAGGAACCTAACTTTTGCTGTCTGTGTTTTAAAGTCTCAGCATCTGGTAGAGTGAAACTGTTCTCCACTGCAGCTCATCAAGACCAGTTTTGATAGCTCCCATAGACCTCACAAAAAACAGGCTGTCGTGAGCAGCCCCCTTTTATCAGCGAGTCCAGTGCTTACGGAATTGGCCTTACCACACTTATTTGCCACTCATGAAACATTTTTCATATTTTAAAAACTCGAGTTCAATTTAAACAAAGCAGAAAGTGGCACCAGAAAACACACACACACACACACACACACACACACACACACACACACACACACACACACACACACACACAACTTAACTGGTTTGATGTGGGGCCAAGTGGCATGGCAGTCATGTCACAGCCTAGGGAATGTTGCAGCATTGCAAATGTGAAAATGGATTGGCCACCTATAACCTCTAGCTACAGGGGACTGCAAGCCAAGGTTTGCCTTTGTTTACGTGCTGAGTTTGTCCCCCTCTCTCTAGTGGTTGCCTTGGCAACTTGTAACGATTTCAGATCTTTCAATGCTCTGCTAAGCCCTTCCTTGACACGTGAACACCCTGATGTAAACTTGGAATAGAATTGTCTTAATCCCTATGTACCAGGACTTCCACAGCGCACTCAGCCCTGAGAAACCACATCTATGCCTCAGGAAAGGGGCGGATAGCTCTCCCCCTTGCTCCAGGTTCAAATCACAAAGCTTCATGTCATAAATACACATTTTAATAAATTACCTTTATTCAAAAGATCACAACAGCCTTTATTTTTCTTTCGTGCCCCAGCGCAAAATTAAGCTGTTTAACATTTCATTGGAATAAACTAAATTGCAGGTAGCTTTAAAATGAATGACAAAATACACTTAAAAACAGAATCAGACCCTTTAGTCTAGTGGCTATGGAGGAACGGGAGGGGAGGAGGAAAGAATGTGATAAACGGTCTGTCTGATATACAACCCAATATCATCTTTTGCCACACACTGCTGTATTAGAAGCCACTGTATAGTAGTACAACATGCACCTAAAATTGACAATACAAGATGTAATCCATTAAATACACTGTCTAGAGACAGAAATCATTAGGGATGATAAAAGATTAAAATAAGAAAGCACCAGGGCTCAAAGGCCATTCTAAGATGAAGTGTATCAGTAGCGATAGTGTAATGTCATTGATCAGAGCTCTACTGCAACATGCTCTAAGGTCTGGTATTTGGTCCACTTCTTGCACGTTTTGCAGAAATGTACTTCTTTGGAAAAGTGACCTCACAAGCTTTGTGAAGGGGGGCGGGGTCACATCAGACCCCCAGCTTATTGGCTTGGGTGAGGACGACTTTCAGCACTGGCATGAAGGCAGACGTCTCGCTGAAGTTGCTGGTGCTGACTATGTGGGTGTGGATGTTCAGTCCCTCTGTGTAGTTGCGTGTTTCGATGCTCTTCGTAATGCTGTGCAAGCCATTGATGATTGCTGGGGAGAGCTGAAATGAAGCCGAGGACAAACAAAGAAGTTCAGCAGAAGGAAAAAAAAAACCACCCAATACGCCAAAGCAGAAGACCAAACAGCCAAGATCAAGCAGCAAACCAGAACGCTGCTGTGGAACCCTGGTCATCCCTTTGCAAGGGTCTGGCAGTGAGCTAAAGCATTTGGGACATAAGCCAAAGCCTAGCAAAGTCAACAGGAGTCTTCTCACTGACCTCAACTGACTCTGGCCCGGCCCTCTGCACCCATGTTTACAGGCTGTTCGGAGGGGAAGGCCATTAACTCAAACACCAAAATACGAGAAGAAATGCCTGTTGAGTCTACTGGGATGGGGGAGAGGCTCAGGGAAGGCACGTGTGGCTTTACACCACCCTTTCCTCAGCTCCCCGAGCCTAACACACCTGTGTCAGCGACGACTCCCAACAAGACACATGAACGGGTTCCTGATATTTATTTCTTTACTTTAAGGTCTGACTCTGCTCCTGGAAGCCTCCCATGAGCAAGAGTCAACAGCAAAAAGATCACTAAGGAAATAGGGCCTTGTGGTTATGCCGCTGGGACTGGCCCTCAGCAGAGTTGAGCTCAGTACTTGGTATGCCACAACATTTGCACCAGTCATTGCGTCTCCACAGGCCTTGGCGCCCCTTTGGTAAAATGGGGAAAGGGCCTTGGTCTGATTTGTCAAATTAGATAAGCTCTTTGGAGCAGGCACAGGCATCAACTCAGTGGGTGTTCTGGGGCTGGAGCACCCACGGGGAAAAGTTAGTGGGTGCGGAGCACCTACCAGCAACCCAACTCCCCCTCCTGGTGGCCCCACTCCTCCTCTGCCCTCCCAATGATCCTGGAGTGCTGCGAACAGCTGATCTGCAGCATTCAGGAAGCTACAGGAGAGAAGGGGAGAAGCTGGGACAGGCCATGCTTGAGGAAGGAAGCAGGGAAGCAGTTTGGAGGAAAGGGAGTAGGACAGGGGGTTGGGGGAAGGGATGGAATGGGGAACTGGGGCAGAGGGGATGGGGTCAAGCACCTCCAGGCTAAAGGGAAAGTTGGCACCTATAGGAGCAGGGACTCCTAGCACAACAGGACCCTGATCTCAGTCTCTAGGCACGACCACAACACAAACTCCACGACATACATGAAAAATGGGTGCACACGCAGTGCCAATAATTCGAGGTAAGGATTAATATGTAATAATGAAACCTGTATCAATGCAGTCTTTTCAAGAAATTCTTAGGAATGCCTATAGCACATTGGTGCAATAGTATTCTAGTGAAATGACGTGCCTGTAAGCAAGGACACAATTCCTAGTAATAACATGCAACATCAAACGGAAAAATAGTTGAAGACTTAAGGCAATAAAAGAACTAAACTACTTACTGTCTGTTCCCTAAGTTTGTCGTACAGGAACTCCAGGCGTTTATTGGCATCATCTAACTTCCTCTTGGTTTGCTGCAGGGAAAGACAGGAAATGAAGTGATATTAAGAACACATTTCTCATAGTGAGAATATGATTTAATCACTAGGGGAATCTGTAATAAATGAACAGCAGCATCTGTGATTCCTCCATTAGCACTTTTTTCATTATACCTTTTTGCCAATGATTTTACTATGAAAGATAAAGACTAGACAGCAGCCAACTCCCACAACTTAGATTCTGCCTACCTACTTGCACTGCAGTAGTACTGCACATGCGTAGTTTGTGAAACACCCTGAAATGTTTTGGTATAAAAAAAGCAAGACAAATACCTGGTATGAATTGTGTTTTGCAGTTAACTGGGAAAATATTATTTCTGTTAAGTAAAAGTAATGTTAAGATCAAAGCACCCAGCCGTCCAAAAAATAATTTTATCCTGAGAGCTCAAGGACGGGCAGTAATAAAAGACAAGAAATGAAATCATTAGTTGAAAACCCATTCTAATTGAATTTTAATTGCAAGGCTATTAAGGCTTAAGAGTAAAAACAGGAACACATGTAAACAAATTCTTACTGCAAACAGGAAAAAAACAAACCAACCCCATGCTACAAAACATCTTTTGTGTCCATTGAAAGTTCTGATTTTGCAAAGACAGAAATTTATGGGGGCTGGGTAATCTTTTTTTTGCCATAAAAGCGATGACATTTTATCTGAGATGGATTCAGGGGTCCTACTCAGGGTGTGGAATTTCATCATGTTCCACCAGAAGTGCCACATTCATTAGTGAGATGGTGAATTTTCTTTCCAGATGGTGTTTGTGAAAAGCTATGGTCATGGGGTTTTGCACATGATTAATCAAAGTAAAACCAAAGAGTCCTCAGCTGCAAATGAGACAGTACACCTGCTGCTGCTAGTTTAACATGAATGGGAAGAGGCCAGCAGCACTGGGAATGCTAGTTTGGTAAAGATCTTGGGGTTCCTTCTCCCTGCAGTCCTAGGACCTTTTAGGATCAATAGCTTCATTTGCCAGAGAGCCTTTCACGGAGGTACTGTACTCAGCAAAGCACTGACAAAGACAGAGAGAATTCCAGGTTACTTGGCTGTATTTCAGTAGAGATTTGAAGCATGATCGATGGTTGATATGGGAGAGATAAGATTCAAGGAGAATGTCATTGCGCAAGCACATTCTAGAGCTAGCGTGGCATAACCCTGTGCGGTGTCCAGGGATCTAAAGGAGAAAATTATTTCCCAAAATGACAGGGTGAGAAAAGAGCCTCTCCGTGTGACCTCCCACATATGGGCATTTGTGCCATTTGTCTCAAAGTACTTGACAGAGTGGGTAGGGTTCTCGCTCTACGGATGTAGGAGCGGAGAAATAGATGGAGTAAGCGATGATGCTAACAACATCTGTGTTCAGGACATGGCACAAAGTCACAAGTCAGCAACAGAGCTGCCAGTAATTCTCCTGACTCCGAGTTCCCTAGTTTAACCACAAGACAACACTGTCTTTCATACCAAGACCTGTACGTGTACATAGCTTGGCAGAGACTGCCCATGTGCTAATGGTGTCTATTCCTCATATATATAGAAGGAATCATGCAAGTTTTGCCTGCTACTGTATCCAGGGACTGTTGCTCTGCCTAAGAAAATCGAAGAGATTTTTATAGATTTGAACAAATGACTGGGCTGATGTCCCAGGAGAAAACAAGAAAAAGCGAAGTGGTGTTAGAATGTGAACTGGACTGTCTTCGGGCTAGTCTAATGTTTGCTTCCCAGAAGACGATATAATTTAGGGATGTTAGATCATGGTTAATTGAATAGTCAAATAACTCATGAATGCTGCTTCTGATAAAGAGGCAGCAGTTATAGTTAGTCGATTATTCTATAGTCCCCAGGGGCAGGGCCGGCAGCAGGGCAGGGTGCTAGGCGAGAGCTAGTCTGCGAGGGGAGCCAATTTAAAAACCAGTTCTGCTTGCGGATCGGCTGCCTGTCGCCCTGTGCTGCTGCTTCTGATAAAGAGGCAGCAGTTATGGAGTGGCAGCAGCCCCTGTCTTGGGGGGAGGAGGAGGAGGTCTGAGCTCCTGGACCTGGCGCAAGCGGGAACTGAGCCGGTCTTCCTGCCCACCCAGCTCCTAATACACTTTAAAAGTAGAGCCATAGCGGGAGTAGGTCCCGAACCCGGCATGAGTCAGAAGTGAGCCGGGCTGCTGGCCAGTCTGCTAAAAAATTTACTGGCTGGGTGGGAAGAAAATGCTTATAGTCGATAGCATTAACCTAGAAGCGTTTGCTTATAGGTTAATCAACTACACTATTACATTCCTAGTTTAATTATGGGAACTGAAAGTTAGGCTTGACTTCTGCTCCCCTCCCTCAGCAGGGTACCCTTTCAGAAAAGCACTGGAGCAGCTACCTGCTGCTGCATAGTCACAGTTAGTAATTTGAAGATGGTGAAAAGAAAATCGAAGGGGCTCTTTCCCATCTCCCATGAAGGCAGCACGTATAGATCTACCAGGAAATTCTTGGGATGAGGAAACATCCAAGTAGGCATCAAACCAAAACTACACCTTTAGCTTGTTAGTGACTCAATAAATATGACACAAAGCCAGTTTGTGAACAGTCTACTGAGGGCTTACAACACTGACAAAGCCATTATTGTACTCCAGCACCAACGTGTCAGCTTACATTACTAATGGAAACCTGAGTCTCTGTCACTGGTTAAACATATTCACCATAAGGGAGCCGTTTAAACAGCCAATCTTCTTTTCATAACCCACTTGTGGCACAAGCTGAGGAGTAAAAATTGTATTTCACAGCTGCAGTGTTACTGACATTTCTCTTGCTGAATCTCTCTGATATTTCCATTACTTAGAAACATTTGTTTTTTTGGAGTTGAATGACAATTCAGGAAATGCACAAAGCAGTTAAAAAGCTCATGGACTGGCACGTGCAGTAAATGAACCAGGCACAGCTGTGAGACTTCACCAGTGGTAACCCACAATAAAACGCTTCTGTAATAGCATTAGTGCTCTAGTCTGGTCCGTAGAGGCCAGCGTGATTTGACTTGAGCAGGTCTGAAATTCCATCCCTTAGAGTCAGGGTTCTCAAACGTCTTTTGCTGGACCTCCCCTTTGAAAACATTTCAGGCTGTGACACACTCCCCTCCTCCCAATACCATGCCACTCGTGCTTCTGTGCTGCCGCTAGCAGTGACGCTGCCTGAAGAGCTGGGCGCCCAGTCAGTAGCTGTCACTGTCCAGCAGCTCAGCTCTGACAGTAGAAGTAAAGGTTGCAATGCCTCGACACGCCTACAACAGACCACAACCCTCTTCTGTGTTAGGGCCCCCGGTTTGAGAAATGCTTTCAACAATAGTGGTCACATGGTGTGGGAAAACATACACACAACCGTGTATTACTAGAGACAAGAGACACTGAATAAACCCAATTATTAAAAGTTAAACTAGTACCCAACCATTTAATAAACTCACTACTCCTACCACTTTGCTGCTATAGAGAACACTGTGTCAGATCTTAAATGCAAGCCATACTGACCAAACCTATCATTGTGCAATGTGTGTGCTCTGATTAGATTTAAAATGTTACATCAATATACTGGAAATATGTCTTTACAAGTTTGTGTCCAGACTCCCCAGCAAAGGTGAAAAACTGGTTTGGCCAGACAAAGTGCTGTTCGACTAACGCATCACCCATGCAAAGACCTACTGGATCTGTGGCAGACAACAGGCATCTCTGGATGAGAGCTTCAAATGTGGTCTTCAGAATAAGGTGCTCATCAGGAATTGGCTTCTTTGTAATCTTCTCTGCTGGCAACGACTGCACATGCTAAAGAGGAGATGAGGAGGGTATTAAAGTCACTTTGGAAACTCCTCTGGATTTGTATGTATTCGGCCACTGTCTCCTCCCAAGTTACTAACAATCTGAGCATGCTCACTCACTCCTCCCCTCCATGCCAGTGGAGCTGAGACGACCAAGGAGGCAACTTTAGCAGTGTCTCAGATGGGGAGAGCATCCAAGGTGTCTCCTTCAGCAGCAGCTGTGAGGAGAAGGTACTTGATTGGCCTGCCTGCCTGGCTTAGGGTAATAGCAAGTGCAAAGCAGCACCAACTAGCTGGTTACGGTTTTAAAGTGACAGCCCTGAATGAAGACAGTGATACAAATCCCACTAATGCTTGTGTTTGCTATGAATACGAGGGGTTAATTCCAGAAGGAGTTTCTGACACCGCTGCAGAAAAGGGGAGGAATGGCTTCAGATTGCCCCATTCTAATGGATACCTAATGGACAGACCTCACTAAGCATTGTGCCCTTTGAGGAGGCTGAGATCTACCATCAGGAGGGGACCTGGCCTGGGAAGTCCTAACCTATAAGCCCAGAGAGGGAGCCATCAGGCAGGAGGCTGGAAATAAAGAACCTGGGGCTGACAGGGATTCTGAAGCACAGAGTGGGACACACAGGGGCTATGGGGAAGTGGACTGAGGCTGTCCCCAGAAACGGGGGTGCCTGGGAGAATCTAGGTCAGACAGCTATGTCTGTAGACTGTTGTGGTAACCCCCCATTTCCTTGTTATGCTTGACCATACTGTTAAAGTTACCCAGTAGTTTGGTTCGTAAAAGCTCTACTGGGTCTCTATAGTCACACTGGTGACAGATGGAACACACAGGCTGCTGGGCAGTCGAATTTCAGTCAGGCCTGCCGAGGCATCATGGTTGGTGTGCAGGAGGCTGAAGCCCACCCTTCGGCTGAGAGATGGAGAACTGTGAGAGTTCACCCTGTAAAGTCATGAGGCCTAAAGTCTCAGAGAGAGAACCAAGGGGGACAGAAGAGCAGCTAGCTTTGAACAGTGAGATGGTTTTGAGATTTTATCTTCTCAGCCTCTCTCCGGATTAGTCTACGTGAGAAACCTGCACTGGTTCAACCTAAGTCGGTTTCTGTACCATTTAAACGGTACAAACCTGTATGTGGACACTCTTACTTCAGCTTAGGAGTGACTTATTGCAGTTTAGCCAAAATCAATTGCTAATCAACTTATGCTTAATCAAAATAAGATGCCCACACAGGTACAACGTTTTCATGTCGTTGAGGCCTCACATACGCAGCGAAAGTGCTCATTGTGTGTCCGTTCTGGGCCTACCACAATGAGCCCCCAAGCCTGTAAACAAAATAAGATGCCCACACAGGTACAACTTTTTCATGTCGTTGAGGCCTCCCATACGCAGCGAAAGTGTGTGTCCGTTCTGGGCCTACCACAACGAGCCCCCAAGCCTGTAAGGAATGGTTAGGCCTTACCAGAATACATCACCTCAATTACTGTTACCTGTATGGTATTGCCAATTGGAGCTCCTGGTGCCCCCTCCGTACTGGGTTTTGACATAGCAGGAGGCATGACTGACTGCCCCAGAGGCTGCTGAACAGTCTGGAAAGGATTTTGTAAAACGGGCTGTGCTGATGGAAGGTGTGAGGGCTGAAATGTAGCCTGAGCTGCAGGTGGCAGTGAAGTTGGAGGCTGCTGCATCTGGGATTGTGAATCCAGCAGAGGATTCATTATTGGGGATGTGATGGGAACAGGAGGCATGAAGTTATCAGGCATCTGAAGAAAAACCAAACAAAACGTTTACTATGCTTCTCTGTTCATTATTTCCACAAAACAGGCTATATTATACTAACTCTGTCTTTCAGTTATAATGTACTTGCAATAAAGACATGTAGGAAATAATACCTCTCGGTGTCTGGTACATTTTTACTTATGACAAAAATTGACAAGGAATATGTAACAAGTCCATAAATGTACATGCAGTACATAATGGGGTCTCTTTTCCATAGATTTTACAGTCTAAAAACTGTACATGCAGTACATAATGGGGTCTCTTTCCGTTCCATAGATTTTACAGTCTAAAAACCCAATCAAGCAAACATTTACACACATACACAGCTTCAAGTCAAATGGGGCTGTTCACCAGCTTAAAAGCATGTGATTAAGAGTTCACAGGATAGGGATCTACAGGCACTAGTGGATACAACAGAGTAGAATATACAACAGAACTCAAGCACTAGTGGATACAACAGAGTAGAATACACAACAGAACTCAAGTGGCATGCAGGTATTAGAATGCCACATTTTACTTTTAATAAAACAAAAATATAAGAATCTCAGTTAACAGAAAATTAACTCCCAAATATCCAGATTGTTTAATGACATTATTTAATGTTGGGGAAAAGTCTATGAAAACTTCATTTCTTATTTAAGATCTTTGCAAGAATAATTTTTTATTCTGAACTCTGAAGAACCTAGCCCACGGCTGGCACTATACAACAATAAACCTTTCAAATAAGAATCAAGCCTCTAGCCAACAGATTTCTATTCAGTTCAATTATTAGTGCATTTATGAATGAGTGCTGAAATGCTTATATGTACATACTCATAAAAGGCCACAAACAGACTCTCTGCTTGGGAGAGGAAAGAGCAGATGACTGAATGGGCTTGTAGTGGATCTCCTGGGCAGTGCGGTGGCCTAGTGGTTAGGTCTCAGAGTTAGTAGTCAGCAAAGGGGTGTAGGCTCCTGCCACTGGAGCCCCAGGCCTAGGAATTCCCGCCTCTTATCTAAGTCAGGTTCTTAAAGTTTGAAGTGAGGCCCCAAGAGTCCAATTTCCCCCTCAGTGAGGGTTCCTTGTAGGTTCTCCCACTTTGTATCAAGGGGAAAGGTTGGAGGCTTACGTGCTCCTGTAGCTAACCCAGTAGACTGCTACGGCTCAGGTCCTGCAGTCAGCAAAACTAGCTCCTGTCTCCTCGCTGGTCAGCCCCTAACTGAGCCAGGTTCCTCTCTTTTATCCTCCCTCCAAGCCTGACATTGGCTGTAGGTAAAACGGGGCATGGCTAGTTGGGCAAAAAGGTTTTGTTTAGCCTCTGCACTTCCAGGCCCTCCTCTCACTTCCTCACAGGCCTGCTGGCTTCTGTTATAACCACACCATGTGAAAAACACGTTAGCCTTTCTACACTTTTTAAAGAGTAGTGAAGGAAACAACAAGAAAGTCTGAGATTGCTAAATGTAGTTCTGGTTTAATGGAATTGCAATTATCCCCACTGGTATACTTCCTCCTCCTGAGAATCTTAGCCCTTTCTGTGCCCCAGACAGACAGCTTGGGAGACTAAAGCCCTAAATTTATCATGTACAAGAGCCGGTACAACAGACTGACACACAGCAAGTTTGCCCATCTCCACCCCACCAATGATGTTTGGCAAGCCTGACTTGGACAGACAAACTCCCAGGGTTACATGTTACTATTGTTTTGTCTCCATGTACAGCCAGTTCCTGACTTACGGCCACCTCGACTTATGACCATCCGCACTTACAACCAAAGTGGTCATAAATGAGGTCCCTGAGTTACAAACGTGATCTGCACTCACAAACAGCGCGGTTGCCATGTAACTCAATGGGATCTGAGTTACGAACACTTCGAGTTACGGCCAAGTGTTTGGTCCGTAACTCATTCGTAACTCGAGGACCGGCTGTATATCCACAACATTATTCTGTCTGCTCAGGGTGCTGTGAAGAACTGGACAGACCACTATAACAGCTGGCAGTTGCAAATATTATGATCACTGGAAAATGTTCCACAATGAAACCAGAATTGGAAAAGTCACTAACCCCACGGTGTCCAACCAGCTCTGAAGGAGCACATTATAATGGCTACTGATATAGCGGACTAGCCAAATAGCCCCATTGTTCAGGCCAACTAGCCACACTCAACCAGCCAAATGTAAACATGTGGCTAGAGGCAGCATGTTGAAGACCACAGCTCAACCTAATAAAAGTGTCTTGAGCTATTCACTCCCACTGTCTACACTGGTCATGCTGTACTTTCCCACCCAGAGTCTTAGATAAAGGTCAAGTTTTATATCATGGTCTTTCATCTTGACACTTGTACCATTAGTAAATACCAGAGGTCAGATCCTCAGCTTGTGGCAACTGCTGTACCTCAAGAGAAGTCAATGGAGCTATGACAACATACATCAGCTTTGGCCCTAGGCAAACACATTCACAACTCACCTGCTTTCTTACAAGGTTACAAAGATCCGTAATATTTTTGCCCCAAAATGTGACCATATTGATTATTAACAGCAATTTTCCCAAGAACTCAGTCTCCTTTGGATGCATATTTCAGGGTGTTTACAAATGTATTTCAGGAGATAACATATGTTGAAAATGTACAATTCCTCCTCCCCTGCAAATGCAACTTTTACTCATAACGCTATCAAATTGCTGTTTGATTATAACATGTCATTTTTCTCCTCACAGCAAGGATTTTAAAACATTAAGGTCATGCTTTATAAAATGCATCATATGCAGGTTAGTGGGATACTAATCTCCTACAGTACCTTCTTCTTCTTTGTAACTCTGTTCAATGCAGGAGGGTCATTCCAGCCATTCTGAGGTCCTATAACAAAAAAAGGCAACATCAATCTCTTGTTAGAATCCTAAAAGATGGGGAATGGACTATTTGCCACACAACATCGGCAAATTACTGCCCTAGCAACGTCTAAAACTCTTAACGTAGGCTGGCGCTCTGTCATAGCTGTAAAAACGGTGATTGTGTAACCTGCTAGCCAAATTCTGGGTTCTCAAATCTGCTTCTGAGCCACTGTGGAAGAACAACACATCCCCTGCATTAAGCAGCAAGCCCTGCACTTCATTACACCGAAACTCTTATGTTGTATCTGCCCTAGGAGTGGTTACTTTCACAGCTAAACTGGAGATTGACTTAATCATCTTGAGCTTCCCTCCTGTACATGATATACATTATGCACTAAGCTCCTAGTAGTCAACATAAAAAGCCAACTAGCAACCTCCCATCTCCCAAGAGAGCTATGTTGCACTGCCAAACCCTTTGCATTATGGCGATGTTTGTGGCAGATACACAATTAGAACAGCGTAGCCAACATATAACAGTTCATTAAAGGTCTGTTTACAAAAGAGACTATTTGCTGGGCAATTTTGTTGGCATAAGCACATTAACATTCGGATAAAAGTTAATCAAGAGTCAGAAAATTCAGAAAATTCTGAGGGGCGAAAAAGCAGTTAAGATGCACAGAAATCTGCATAAGACATTTTCAGAATGTGGCTATTCTTTTTTGTGAAGGATGTTTACACAGCAACAAGATGGGTTCTCCAACAACAGAAGGAAAACAGAGAGGATACTCCACCTAGGGCCATGTCTAGGGAGTAGGGTGGGGTGGGGCCCAGGACAACCCTCCTTCAGGCCCAGATCCTGGCCCTGCTCCATCCTGCCCTGCCTCTTCCCGCCCCCACTCTACCCTCTCCCCCCCACTGCACTCATTCCTTGAAGCTCCTTCCCCAAACGACACAACTGGGGGTATTACGGGGGGTTTGGTGCAGGGCAGCAGTGGAGGTCAGGCCACAGCATTCACCACAATGGCAGGAGCTGTGGGAAGTGGAGCAACCCAGCCCTAGTCTGCTCCACAGCCATCTCCCATCTGGGTTGCTCTGCTTCACTGCAGCAGTGCAAAGCAAAGTGACCCGCCTGAGAGATGAAGCAGCACAGAGGACACTGCTGTGTCACTCCGCTTCCCATCTCTCCTGCTGTCACAGTGAATGGGGTTGGGGGGAAAGCCTGCTGCTGGCCCAGGACCCCCAGGTAAACCAGCAGGCTACCCTGGGTCTTGTGGGTGAGATTAGAGCAAACCTCAATATGGGGGACTGTCCCAGCCATAGGACAGTTGGGGCAGCTGCCGTGGGGCCTGGCAAAGCGAGCAGTCCTATGGATGGAATGGCTTTGAGTCCAAATGAAGAATGAAACATCAGCAGAACTCATACCACCCTATGTCACATTCACCTGTATGCTCCAGAGACACAAGGCAGTCATCAGCCAGGTCTACCCAGCCATTTAAGTAAGGTTTATGGTTGTGTTGGGTCACAAGAGCAGAGTAAAGCTGTCTGAGCAGACTGGTGAATATGCCTCATGCATTCTGGCCAATGTCAGTAGTAATGAGGAAAGAGAAATACAGAACATAGAATACCTAAGCAGAAGTACTTCTAAATTTTAAATACAGAACATAGAATACCTAAGCAGAAGTGCTTCTAAAAAAATTTTTCTGTGGTTTTCATGAGAAAACCTTTCATTAAAAGATAGTATTTTCTGTGTATTTGCAAATTTTTCAGAACAAAGCTTAGATTAGTACATTTAAAATTGTTCCACTATTTCATTATGCACATCTCATAGGGACCATTGTATTAAAACTCAACATTAAAGCTGCTTAAATTGGAGTTATGAGGATTTATAAGAGCCATAAAAAGCCAAAAGGAAAAAAACTCAATGGACTTTTTCACCACAGTGTTTTTCTCTTAGTAAACTAGAAATTCATGCTTGCACAGTGGACTGGGTTACTTCAGAGCAGACTTAACCGGTCTCTAAATTTAACAAGCACTTGAGAGTTTTGTTAAAGAAGTTCCATAATTATGAAACCATTAAGAAATTAAAGGTGCATATTAAACAATTGATTTAAAACCTTTTATGTGACTTCTTGTCTTGACTCAGTCATATCTCCTGAGCAATAAGCTATCTATCAGGCCATCAGATTTCATAAGACTTGAGGTCTGGAAAGCCTGACTTTTGCAGCACAGAGTAGGACATCAATTTTTTTAATCATTACTAATATTGTTAATACTTTCTTGGCATTCAGTTAAAATGCACCAATTCGTTTCTGTGGTTAAAAATTCCAAGTAAATTATTATTTATTTTCATTAGGATATTGTAAGATTTGATTCAATTAAAATGTACTGACAAACAGCACTGAATTTAGTGCATTATGAGTCACATGCATTAAATTAATTTCTTATTGTGGCTCAATGATTTCCATATTATACTGTCGCTGGTTCACCTTCCAGGGCAGAGGCTTGGTCTGGAGAAGACTGATTTTCTGTAGATGAAATGCAAAAATAACTAAAGAGGTTTTTTTTTTTTTAAGTAAACACACACTAACCTGCAATTATTGAAAAGAAATAGCTAATGAGAAAAATAAGTGTGCAAAGACGGAATTTTCATCACTTGACAAAAATATATAATTAAATAGCCAGCTTATTAACAATACAATTAATTTGCAGAATGACTTTTCCTCTGCCCTCCCAAAGCATGAGTCCGACTCCTTTTCATTTAGAATTTCCACTTTTCAAGTTGCTCCTAATAACTGTTACAGAATCCTGACTCACGTTTGTTTCCAGGACAGCTGAACCAAGAGGCCACTCCTCAGAGACAAAATTCCCTCATTGCAATTGATTTAAGCACATACTTACATCCTTTCCTACATCAAGACCTATATGATTATTTATTAACACAGCAAACATATGCAGTATTGATATGCAATGACATGAGCTTCACACAAAAACATGAAACAAATTCCCTGTTCAAATAACATGACAGAGAAAGATATCATGACACACTATCATCCAGAAAGGAAAAGGGAAGTGCTGGACCTGGGACAGCTATGTTACAGTATATTTAAACTTGGTTAGGCACATCTCTCATAAACACTGCTTTTTAGAGATTTATAATCCTTGCACAAACATCTCACTGGATTGAGACGTGCACTGTCGTAACTCAAAAAAAGAATTTTATGCTACACTAAAAATCATTTCATGTTTAAGATGGATGCCAGAGATAGATTTCTTAAACATCTGCTGATGTAAAAATCCAGACGGCTTAAAATGAAAATTTGAAAAAACTTACTTTTTAATGTCTTAGGCCTTAGCCTACTAATATTTACATGTTTCCAGAAAACAAAATGGAAAAAAATGCCCATGGAGTTCTAACTTTTATACCAGCATCTTTGAATCATTACTGCTGGTTTACTGCACATATACTTTAATCTTAAAGCATTAAATTTTTGTTTTGAATGAAGTTTAAAAAGAAAAACAAGCCCCAAACTATAGAAAGATCCTGGATTATAACATACGTAAGCTCAGAAACTCAAACTCAAGGATCAAACTGCCATTACTAAACATAACCACTATAGAAAGATCCTGGATTATAACATATGAAAGCTCAGAAATTCAAACTCAAGGATCATACTGCCATTACTAAACATAACCCTCCTGTTTGCTTAAATTCATAACCTTTGGGAAACACTAAACATCATGGACTGAATAGAAACACTGGGCTTATGGCTCCTTATTACAAAAACCTATGACCTAATAATAAACCCCTATCCAGCTGCTCCTCCCCACATTTCCTTCCCTGCCTATGGCTGGAAGGGTGTTAGCAGGCCATTTCACCTTGAATGGTCCCTTGAAATGTGTTACTTAAATGTATTTAGCTGGGACACTGATAAGGCACAGGTTAGACACACACAAAATGCTGTAGCTGCACAGCTAAAGTGAAGATGCTTCTTGGCTAACTGGAGAACTTTTCAACATAGCACTGTCAACACACAGGGTGGGTGTTGGGTCTGTATAACTAGATTGCTCAGGGCCGGGGATTTTTCACTCCCCCAAGAAAAGCAGTACAGTAGTAAACAGGTCTGGAGAGCAGACTTGAAGAAGAGCTCTATGTAAACTTGTCTATCTTTCCAAAAGAACTGGGCCTAACAAAATATATTAACTCGCCCACTGGTTTCTCTGTTTGCACCTACACATTTGGAGATTCAGATGTGATCTTAATTTTGGCTTTATATTTTCATATATTTACTAAAATGGTACCTTACTGAGTGGCCTTCTTCACTATGTGGTTCTGCTTCTGTGACTGATATTGATGGCTAAGGCACAGTAAGTATATTTATCAATTCCCATGGGGTAGCTGTGTTAGTCCGTATCTATAAAAACAACGAGTCCTGTGGCACCTGGACTATCATCATCAGATGCAGGAATCCCTGGATTCAAGAGAAAACTCTTAAATCTCCTGTGGAGCCACCTCCCCACCCCACCACAGCAGCCGAGTCAGGTTGCCCCATTGGAGCTGCTTTCCCCCTCGTGTAAACGTGTATCTGCAGGGTTTTTAGTGGTTTCACATTTATCTGAGTCAACACATTTTAACATCCCTAATGTGCACCATCCTCACACACAGATGGGGAAAGGTATCCAACTGCCTCACAAAGAAGAACGCTAACATTCTGTTTAAGGAATATATGGGACTGTCAAAAGGACATGTGTTCTTTGGGTAGACACATCCCTACATTGTTCCACAATACTGTCTACAATGACAGGCCCCAAAACTGACCCCACTCTTCCCTGGACAGAGTGGACATTTTCTTCCCAGACTGTGCGCGCAAACGTAATACTCATGAAAGGAACCTGGACAGAGTGGACATTTTCTTCCCAGACTGTGTGCGCAAACGTAAAAGGATCTGGATCCTAAGCCTGATTATCCAGAGAACTGGTAGAGTCAAGGTAAGGGTAGAACCAGCTTCGGGTAAAGGCAAATAACATCCATGTGCCCCAAGACACACTTTGGAGCCCCTTCTTGTCACGGGTGCCTCATTCCTGACCGAGTCTGACTGCTCAGGTTGGTCAGAGAACAGTTCAGCTTCCACACCCATTCAGGCTATGACAACTCTGGTAAGATGGACAATAATGTTGCCAATTTGCACCACAAGGGCCTGGGCTTTGTGTGTTGGAGACACATGCCTATGACAACTCTGGTAAGATGGACAATAACGTTGCCAATTTGCACCACAAGGGTCTGGGCTTTGTGTGTTGGGGACACATGCCCATTGGGAATGGACACAGCCCAAATCTATTTCACACTGATCAACAGAGTGTCAGGATGTCAGTCACTACCAACCTGGGATTGACTCCAGCTGGCAACCTAGAGGTTTCCACTGACAGAGCCCTGAGCCAACCATTTCCCCACCAGAAAAGACATTTAAAAGAAAGAAAAGTCTAATGGCTTGGTCTCTGAGCCCATTAACAGGACACCGTGCCTTTAAACAATGGCATCCCTGTCGAAACACAGCCCTCCCTCCTCCCCTTTTGTGTTAACAGAGCAGACTTAAAACGATGTGTCAATCAGGATTGCTCTAGTACACATCAGGACTGGAAATGCTGTTTAAAACTCAGCTGAGGAATAAGTGGCATTAATGAAGAGATAAGTCAGCCATCATGCAAAAGGTCACTCAGGCAGCTCAAACCGAAAACAGTAAAGGACGACCATGCTGGTGCACTCTCTCATGCACACACAGACATGCTTGAGTCCTAGAAACACACACTTGGCTTGTTTATCTTACAGAAAAAAAACATGCCACTGAAGTGTTTCTAAACATTGTGTGATGATCTTTCAGGGTATTTATGAGCACAGTAATCCTGGCACAGATGAGGATTAGGAAACCAGAGCTAATGACTGCATCTGTGAGCCTATTCAGTAGAAAAGGCCTCATATATTAAATGTGATCCAAAATTGGGCTTGACCCTCCTTCCTTTATAAAGACATTTGTGTCTTACTGGGGACAACCGTACTGACAAACTAGGTTACAGGTTGCACCTTTGTGGTCCCGAACTCTCTGGTCCAGCAACATCCACAATCTAGCAGGACCACGGATGTTGTTGGACTAGAGAGCCCCAGCACAGAGGTTGCCAGGGGCTGGAAGCAGAGCCGACCGGTGGGGCCAGAGGGACAGTGGAGCCCACAGGACACCAGAGCTTGCAGCAGGCAGGACCGCCAGAGTCCACCGTGCAGGGGAGGGAGGTGCTGCTGAGCTCACATCTGGCAGGGCTGCGAGCTTGTGGGGTCACTGAAGTGCATGGGGCCGTGGAGTCTGCAGGTCTGCTGCAGCAGTGGCAGGTAGCGGGGGAGAGAAGCCAAGTGGAGAGGCTGGTGCCTGGGAGGTCCAACCTGTAGTAAAAAATGATGCAAGAAGAGAACCAGTCACAGCATCCATGATGGCTTGAAAATCTGCTCATTTTTAGAGAGTGGTTCACTAACCACACAGCAGTTTTGGCTCTGTCCACATTATGGTTAAAACTGTGCCGGCATCAATTGTATAAAACAGTGTTCAGGCATATTTTCTCTGACGAAGGGAGACAGAAATTCTTTTTCTATAGCACAGCGGGACTCTCAGAAGGTCTCTGTACATATTGATCAAGAAATCAGAGCTGTTCTGCTAGCACTAGGGATGTAAAATCCTGTTTAATTAGTGAACAGGTTGGATTCTATAACCTCTCAGCAGATAAGTCATCACTAATTGTTTGAAGAGTTACCTGTGTGGAGAACAGTTTAGCAGTTGACAGATCTTTCAGCCAAGCAACATTTAGATACTTAGTTTACTAGTTTTTGCATGTTTTTGGCAAGGGCAAACTTTGACCAAGACAGTGGTAGGTCCAGCAATCCGCTCTGGCTAATACTCGAGTTACCTGCACATCTCATAGGTCCCGCTGTCAGACGAACACGTCAGTGACAGGAGGTATTGTTTTGTATTTGTTGTACGCCAGTAGCTCTGTCATAGAAGAAAAGGAGGTTGATTTATTCTGTAGAATCTGATTATGCCTTATAACCCTACCATCCTCTCTAGATGCTTTCAAATTAATTGTTTAATAATTTGTTCCAGTATTTATTAGAGATGTGAATGTTTAACCAGTTGGTGGGGGCTGAAGCAGCTCTCTACTCTCTGCCATTGGCAGGGACTGCTCCAGCCCACACCAATTAACTGTAACGGGTAAGCTTCACCCATTAAGATTAACCATTCTAGCTAGCATGGTTTCATCTGAAGTAGACAAGGCCTTACAGCTGTAGCACTCACAGAAAGGATAATGATGTTTTTAGAAACACTGTAGTTAACCCTAAAACGCAGCCAAATCTTGTATTCCTCATTCGCCAGAACAGTGATGAAAACCCACATAAGCAAAATAACTGCTTTCAAGCGCAGTCCTGTTCTTTGGGATGCAGGAAGCTCACTGATTGCAGGCAGAGTACCTGTTGGTCCAGGAGGCAGCGCATAAGCCACAGAAGTTGCTGGAGCTCCTGGCCTGCCATGCTGGAAGGATGCACCAGAAGGAGGGATGGGGAAAGAAGAGCTGGGATTCAAGCTGGTTGGAGAGGGCTGAGGTGGTCCTGGGTATAACTGAGAGGGCACAGAATGGGGAGAAGCAGGAGGCATACAGGGAGGGTTAGGGTAGGAAGTTGAAGCAGGAGGAGCAATAGGTTGTTGAGGCTGATAGAGTGCTGGTCCCCCCGTTCCAAAAGAATACTGCTGTGGCGGCTGATAAGCTAAATGGGGGAGAAAAGGGAGAGGTTCAGTTAGTAACATTATTAAGAAAAAGCTACCGTGCTCTCCAGTTTACATGCCCCATTCCCTCTCCCTAGCTACCAAGGATCACAACTTCCCTATGGATTTCAGCTGAGCACTTTCAACTGGCTCGATGGCTTAATAAACAGAAAAATACCCCACCACACAGGATACCTAATCTGAATAGCAGGCTCAGGTGTTGGGGGCCTTTCTCCGAAGCCAGCCTTGCAGTCTTGTCACTAGCAGATAACACCCTAGTATTCTGCTAGCACCACTTAAAGGTACTAGCATGAACCCCTGTGCAGTAGAGGGCCAGATTTCACCTCTCAGCTTCCCACAGTGACAGTGGGCACATCTCCTTTGCCAACCCACTACAATGGCCTGGCCTATTAGCTGGACAGTTCCCACTATGGTGCTTGGACTAAGTGGCGCATGTCACCTCACCCTGTTGCTGGAGCCCGGGAGGCAATGAGAATTGTGTCCTTGGTCACAAAGAGCTTGACTATCTACTTCTCCCCCAAAACTCATAGGTCTCAGGCAATTATACAACTCTCACACTCACAATTAATAGGCGAGGAAAATTAACAGGTTTTAGAAAGACTGGTGGCTACTTCTGTGGGAGTCTTTTAAATCTGGAAAGGTAGGAGCAACATCATCCACATGATGCCCCCGATCAGGTAGGAAAATAGAGTGCTCACTTGACAGCCGCAGAAGCCCATACAAAGGAGTTAAATGACATGCCCGCAGTCACAATTAATCAATAGCACAACTAAGACCAGGATTCAGATCTCTCTGCAAGGCCCCAATCTTATCACGAGATGTCACAACTCGAACACTGTGCCTGGTCTAATCTTTGTGTTTGTTAATTCCTCTCGGTTCCTATGGGAGCCTTTCTCCTTACTCTCGCCCTCACCTTCCCCCCGGCTACTCTTCCACATCCTGTGTTTCTTTCATTATTATTATTATTGTGTGCAGCTTCCCCTTCCTCGTTTATCTCCATCTCTGGCCTTACCTATTGTTTGTTGCTGACACTGCAATAGCTGAATTAGGTTAAGTTCCTCCTCAACAACTAAGCATGCTGTTCAAGAACTACCTGGCTCTGGAGTAGCCATAGGGATCTTTGGGACTCGGAGCTTTTCGGAAGATAGAGCTTAGGACTCAGACTACGATTTGTTGGTAGCCATCTGCTTAACTGTAATTTAGCTGTTCAACAGGCAGTGACCGGGAACCGTAATCAGAGCTTTCTGTGGATTGTTCCCTTACCTAAAGAGTGGGACAGGTTTCCCCACTGGTCTGAACCTCCTGAACAAATTCACTGGTGCGAATGCTGTGTACATAAGCCATTGCTACTTACTCGGTGGGTACGTCTGTCGTGCCCCTGCCTGCGAGTACATGTTGTAACCAGGAGAGGGGGCCTGATGAGGTGGCACATTCGGATGAACAGCCCCTGGCATAATAAAACCTGGGGGTGGAGGATTGTCTCCCTGGGAAACAAGAACGCAGTAAAGAGAAAAAAGGTTAGATGAGGTCTGTGCTAGCCAGAGGAGGAGTTGAATGGGATTTCACAATTTTGATATTTAAAGGCCTTGAATTGACCTCAACAGAAAACAGACACGGCCACTGACATAACTGGGCTGGTCATTCCACCACCACAGTGAGACATGCTTTTTGAACAGTTATAAAGGTGAACCACAAACAAAGGGTTCAACAGGAAATGAGGAAGCAGACATTCTTAGAACACAACCATTCTACAGAACGAGGAGATGATGTGTCACAAAAAAATGCCAGCTAGATATTTTAACCAAGACACTTCATAATGGTTAAACCTGTTACTTCCAACTTTCGGGGAAAAGAGGGGAAAAGACACTTCATAATGGTTAAACCTGTTACTTCCAACTTTCGGGGTAAAGAGGGGAAAAAAAAGACTACTCTTGCAACACTCACATTATTCCACTGCCAAAAGGAAGCAGTGGAAGTTCTTGCTTGATCTCAAATTTTATTAAACACCAACGAGTACTTTTTTAAAACAAGCAGTCTGGGTAATATCTGGAATAATATACAAGAGCTTCATGGAAACAAAAAAATCAGTTGACCTGAACAGTTGCTGCTGTTTCCCAAATGCACCAGAATGCATCAAGAATACAAACTGCATAGGGTTGGGGGGTTGGAAGGGATTTATCTAAAGGGAGCAGGATCTGCTCAAAGAGGAATAATTAACTTTATACCTGTGTGTCAGAGGGAGAGGCTGCAGGAGGATGGCTGGGAAGGGCAGTAGGAGTTTTGTTACTCCAGGCAGTGACAGTAGGGGCAATTCTAACCTGAATTGAACAAAGAAATACCAATCATGGAAAATAAAATTAAAAAAACAAAACAAAAAACCCTCATGGGTATCACATTGCCAGATGCAAAGCAGGAATTCTAAACACACAAAATCAGGCATCCCAGTACTTCAAAGTAGCCATGAAATCAAAATAATAACATAAAAAGTCAGAGCCTAAAATCACTGCACACTGAAAAGCAAACAGAGAAGACAAACAGTCAAGAGTTTTGGTACCTAAATGGAACCACAACAGGAAAACAGAGCACAGAGGAAGTATGAGGAGTTAGAAAGCGGACTCGTGTTTGAACAGTGTTATACATGCCCCTAAAGCCAGCTCTGCCAGAATGTCATTACTACAAAGCCCCCTTTTGTCACGTTTTCATAACTCATGCAAAAATTCACTCAAGGCCGAGGGCTCACACCAAGCAGTACATAAACACAAGTCTGTATGTTACAGGACTTCAATTGCCTTCCTGTAAGTGGGGCTTTTTTAACTTGGATTTACACGACCCTTTGAGGTACCTTATTTTAAAAAAATAGAATTTGAAATCCAGCTGTAGCATATTCACGATAAGCTTCTTCCTTAGCATTAGTCCCTTCCCACAACTAGGGATGTAAAAGGTGAACTAGTTAACAAGCAAGCCCCACCCTTAATGGGTGAGGCTTACCAAGTTGGTTAACTGGCAGGGACTGGAGCAGCTCCTCATCCACCCTGGGCAGGGGGTTTCTCCAGCCGCACGGGGCCTGCTGGAGCAGCCCCTGTCCATGGCGGGCTTGGCCTCCCCTCCCCCTCAGAGGCAGCAGCATGGGGGTGGGAGGGAAGAAGGCAGGAGCCATATATGTGGAGAGCCGGCTTAGCATGCTGGCTCCTGCAAAGCCACCTATCCCTTCCGCCCACAATGCTACCTCTGATACAGATGCAACGGTACAGGGAACAGGGGGAACAGCTCTGCAGGAGCTGTCTGCCCCCACACATGTAAACATGAATTTTTCAGCACTTACACATTTACCTAAACACACACATTATAACATCCCGACAACAAATAGGAACATTTGAATAATTTCCCAAATATCTATGAACATGATTTGATCAATAATCAGTTTGCAATTTTAAATAAGTTAATTAGAAGATTCCTACCTAACGAACAAGGGTGTTATAATGAAATTCAGATAAAGGCCCATAATTCAGCGCATGCTTAAATGCGTGCTTAAGTGCTAGCCTGAGCAGGAACGATGGACTTATACATGTGCTTAAGAGCTCTCCTACGTTGAGGCCAATGGCAATGAAACTAAAAGTGAAGCCTCACAAACTGCATTTTATCCTGCTCTGTCCAATCTACATACTGCTGCATGTCGGGCTGTAACACCCCATTAATATCAAATCCCTGCAGTATCTAAAGGTGGAATTATGTTGTCAACATAAGAAACATGCAAGTCAAAAACTTCTTTGCACAGTTCATTTGGAATGTACTTGTTGGTACGTGTGTAAACCATCATTTACCAAAATAGGGATGTAAGCGATTAGTCGACTATCCGATAAGCAAAAGCTTATTGGATAGTCGACTAGTCGCTCCCGCTCTACCCCCGATGCTTCTATCGGAGGCAGCAAGGGGGTGAGGAGCAGGAGCCAGTGCTGGGGGGAGGCAGTTTAAAAGCCAGTTCCCCCCAGCACCGTCTCTGCAGGGGGCAGAAGAGGCAGGGCTATAGCAAGGACCAGTCACGAGCAGGGAATCAGCTGATTCCCGGCTCTTGCCCAGTCCCAGATGCTGCGCTCCAGGCTCTTAATACGTTTAAAAGGCTAAAGTGCAGCAGGACTGAGGCTGGGAGCTAACCCTGCTGCGGCTCCCCCTGCTTATCGACTAGTCGATGGAAAATCCATCAACTAGTCAATTAGTTGATTAAACTAAATTTAACATCCCTGTACCAAAATTTAGAGTTTTTGCTTTTTATTAAATAAGCGGAGGCAGTTCTCGCATCCCTTCCTTGCTCTTAATTCTAATGGGTAGAAAGTGTGAAGCTTCAGTGTGAAGCGTTACCATATCTCATCTCTAGGAAAGCTAACATTCTCCACAACAGAACTTGAAGTTTATTGAGATTGCTATAACATCTTTACATAAATAAGGTATGACACACAGAGAAAAGAACAGCTGGTTTAATGATTTGTAATAATTTATCTGAAAACTGGTCAAACACAATGATGTTTGCATAAATTGAAAGAAATTTGTATCCCCTCTGAAAGTTACTTTTTGAAAGTTATACATCCAGCATATCATCTTTGGTCAACTCTGCAGAAAGGCATCCAAAACCACTGATCTACAAGGGAAGGGCAAAAAAGCTTAACACCCATGGTTCTTCAACCTTCCTTGTCCTTCAGTTCTCAAAAAAGCAAATAATTTGATTTCCCTGTCGGGATGCAATGAAATATGGCCCCCTCTGTAGCAGGAATCCAAAAATACCTGACTAGAGGCTGCCAAGCAAAAAAGTGCAAGCATTCCAGTAAGTTCACCTCTCCAGTCCTTATAGTGTGTGAAGGGAAATCCAAAACACAGATATAGTTTCCTGTTTCCCTGCTCTCCATTTAAAAACAGTTCAAACACGACAGGTTGAACCTCTCTATTCCAGCACCCTCTGGACCTGACCAGTGCTGAACCCCAGGAGGTCAATATTGTCTAGCCGCATCACCAACACTTCCACTGCTCACTGGGCTCTTTGAAGACATTTGGGGTAAATTGGAGCTAAACAACAGCTCAAAACACTGAGAGCCAAGACTGGCAGCTGTAAACAAACTTTATGGGACTGTGGAAAACCTGGCCACACCCATGATAAGTGGACATCCAGAGAATCATGGCCGACTATGGATGTTGCCGGACCAGAGAGTGCCGGACAAAAGAGAATCAACTTGTAATAAGACTCGCTTTCCATTCTCAAGGAATTCAGTGAAAGCAGCTGGTGGCAAAAGGGCCAGCTGATCAAAAATGGTTTGCTAAGGGATCCCAATCGAGCACAAAGGCCCCTGCCTCCCTTATTTCTCATGTCTTCCCCACCCAATGCCTCCCCCCCAAGAGCTTCCTCTTCTATCCCAGACTCACTCATTCACTCTCCCAGCACATCTCACACTCAGGGCTTCCAGCCTGCTCTGTCCCCATCCCTGTCTATGGTGTGGATGCTCTCCTTACACCTTACTCCTACTCCACCACCCTGTTTCCCCACACCACAAGGAAAGGATTTTAAGCATTCAGCTGTACCAGCACCCAAGTCCGTCACTGGACTCTCAGCATGAGCTGGCAGAACCAGAATCGCCTGCCAAGAGTTTGCTACTGCAGCTTTACAGCAATTTCTCTGGCTCTAGCTGAGTATAGAGCAACGGGCTACAGAGTGAATAGCCAGCCCTGAAGAGATGGTGACAGACATGACTAAGTCTCAAAGGCTGCAGGGGGGAGGGGAGAATAAAAATTAAAAATCGATGCTGCAGTGCTTTGCATTAAAATACATTTTAAAAGGGGGGAGGGAAGAGGGGAATCTCCAAACCCAGGCTGCTTGATCAGATGTTTCCAAAAGCAGAGTAAAGGGGGCATCCACACAAATGGCAAAAAAGCACGAAGGAATTGTTACCCAAAGGGCTTGTAGGCATATCACACACACACACCAGGGATTCATGAAAGGGTTCAAAGCCATCACCTTCAAACCTCGCGCTTCTGCCTGACTGCTCCACTTCATTTACCTGTTGATAATACTGCTGGGCTGGGCCTTGGGGCATCTGCATTTGTCCAGCCACAGGTCCAGCTCTTCCCCTGGCCATAGGATCTCCCTCATATGGGGACGTGGGTGCCTCCTGTCCCACTGGAAGTTCTCCCTGGGCTCTGGAAAGTCTGTCCCTCAACAGCACAATCTTTGGCTGCGAATAGTAAACCAAAGCAAAACACGTAATTACACCAAGTGGAATCTGTGGCCTCAGATCAGCAGATGGATGGCCACTTACAGACCAGTTAAACTGCAACTGACTGTGCAGAAGAGGACAGGATGCTGCATTGAACAGTGCTCTGGTTAGCTGAAGCAAGTCTGTTTTTCAGCCAAAAAACAGGCCTTCCAGCTGGATTCAGTGCACGTGACAGTATTGGAAAAGTGGTCACAAGTCTAGTATTCTCGTTCCCAGAGTGGCACCAGTGGGAATCTGTGGAAGCGCAGAAAGAGGGGGGGAAATGGGGCCTGGGAGGGCAGAATGTGCCACTACGATTACTGGCTCTGGAGGGCTTTGTCCCAACCCTCACCGGCCACGAGAATGGCACGCCATGAGCCAAGAAGGGAGAAGAATGAAATGCAATTCTCACAGCTTAAAGTGACACAGGGAATTTTAGTATATTTACAGGGATAGCCATCCTGCAAAATCTATGGAATTCACAGTAAGTGGGGAGCAGGAGAGGAATAAACCATTCATTGTAAGGGTGCATCTACACTGCACCGTTATTTCGAGATAATTAGCGTTATTTTTAAATAATGTGAGTATCTACACAGCCATTCTCTCATTTCAAAATAACTGACAGCTTATTCTGAAATCTGTAAACCTCAGTCTACGAGGAACAAAGCCTATTCCGAAAGAGCGATTTCCAAATAAGGCGTGTGTAGACGCTCCACTTCTGCTATTTCGAAATAGCCCCTTCACCAGGGCCACTCTAAGTTATTCCTCCTCAGTGCGTCCTGGTGCTCTAAATCGAGATAAAACATCTATATTAGGGAAGCTTGCCTCGGACTAATTTTGAGGCTTCCTTGCAGTGTAGACATGCTATTTCGAAATAAGCTATTTCAGAATAACTATTCCGGAACAGCTTATTCCAAAATAAGCGTGCAGTGTAGACATACCCTAAGAGAACATTGTGACTTGGGTTGCACAAAGCAAAGTCTTGGTTTCACCTGGACTTATTTTCCAAGGCACCCTGTATCTTCTAAAGCACCAGGAGACGATTACACTGTGAACATGTTCCATTCCAGTGACTTTTCCCATCTACACACAATAATAATCCCTGTCAATGGAGTTCTAAGCAGGAAAAAGAATCCCAAAGCACATTGGAGCATGTGCTCAGTTGAAGCTTCTTCACCTAGAAGGGGGGCAGAAGGAAAAGTAAAGCCACTTACCTGATTGGTGTTCGCAGGCAGGAAAGCCAATGCAGTGGCAATGCTGCCCTGTGCAGCCAACAGATTGGCATACTGACTCATCATCTCAGCCAGAAGAGTTCCTACAGCATCAGCATCTGTGGGCTGTGTAAACTGTACAGCCTTACGCAGAATTACTACCTTCTCAGTTAGGTCCTGGAGGGTTATGACAGAGGGAAAAAACAGCAAGTTAATGGGACCAAGTGAAGGGAAATGTCCACTAATAACAGCATATCAATTGCCTACAGCTCAACCTTGCACATGACATAGTTCCCATTACATAACTTTAAACAGAGTGAAAACAAAGTTCTTCCCAATGATAATTAGCTAATTTATTGTGTAACGCTCAGAGAGCAAGATAATAGAAAAGTCATCAGTGACCATCAATTTCAGTGCTTTTTTAAAATATGCTGCCATTAAGTACACCTGGAGCAATCTGATTACCCCATAAAGAAACATTTTTTTAATTATTATTTTGAGAGCTAAGATACCTGTAAGACTACCAGCATCTGCTTTTTTCGAAAGTACTATTCAGCCAAAATATGTTATTTACTGCTGGTACAAACATTTTCTAGAAACATAACAGAGATGGGAAAGACTGGTTAGGCCATCTAATCCATCTTCTCACAAATGCAGGATTGTTCCCTAATAGATCATTAAATTGTAGTTTTAATCGTCTTAAGGAAAGAGGATTCCAACATTCCCTTTGGGAGACTATTCCAGTCTACTGGTTCTTACTGCCAAGAAATTGTTCTTTATATGCAGCATAAATTTTCTATTTCTTGATTCTATTCCAACCACGACACATAATTAAACCTATGTATCAACCAAAATATCTCCCCTCATCTCTTGCACCACTTAACAAATGTGTTTCTGTATATGCAGCCCAAAACTGCATTGCTCCTTTTTTCTAAAATTTTAACTATCAAACAACACTGCAAATTCCACATTCAATGACCCACCTTTGCTCTCTGAAACCTATTCCCCAGTTTCTTTTCCTTCCCATTAAACAGCTGTGCTTTGGATTATTTTTCTCCCAGATGTACTCATTAGTATTTTCTTCCCCAGTAGCATCTCACCTAGGGACAGTCCCAACATCAGGGTAGTCTGTCTTCTATTTCCTACTAGAAGACTAACCTGGCATTGAAAAACTGAAGTCCAAAGCAATTTCACAAGAAAAAAAAATATGCAAGAATCAGCTTCCCCTGTAGGGGGGAAAATAGATACTGGCTTTGCCTTAAAGGCACTCAACACATTTATGCAAGTCTAAAAAAACTAGCCAATTAGCCCGTCATAAGACGGGATTTTCAGGTCTCTCCTCCACGTCAGTCTTCTCTCCTGAGCCTCCAGTCTCTCGCTCCATCTCTCTCCCCTCCTCCTCCTGCCTCCCCCTCTCTCTCAGCTCTCCTCCGCCTTCTGCCTCTTTCTCCATCTCTCTCTTTCTCTTCTCCCCCTCCTGCCTCTCACTCTCTTTCCGCTCTCCTCTGTCTCCGTTGGGGATGCATGAGTGGGGTGGGCAGCAGCCTGGGATCTGCATGTGCCCGGTGAGTCTAGCTCCCTGCCAGCTGATTCCCTCTCCTCGCCCCCCACCAGCCAGTTCCTTCTCCTGATTTCCTACAGCCAGCCTCACTGCCCCCCACTCCCGCCCCCGCCCGACCCTA